AATATCTAAAATTAAATAAGCGGGAAAAGATGAAATATTATAAATAGGGTAAGCACATTAATATTAACATCAATACGGCTCAAAAGTTTGTTTAAAATATTGATAATTATAATAAATTTTAAATTGAAATATTAAATTTAATTAAATTAAATTGTATTATAATGCTAATTATAATTATAATTAAATTATAAATTACATTATTATATTTATATATATAAAATTCAACATTATACAGTGAGTGCAAAAAGTATTCGTACAGAGAAAATATTTTTTAAAGAAACTTTATTTTTAAAAAGTAAATGTTATCCAGCGAGAAATGAGTCATTGAATTGATGTCGAATCGATATCGATTTGAACACTAATTCGACGTTTAATTGACGATCATTTCTTGTTGGGTAATTAACAATTTATTCATAAAGAATAAAATAGACTGTATGTTTCTTAATTATATATACTAAAAAGATGTGTATTAATTATAGAAAATATATCATCTGAAAAATAAGCGAAAATTAAAAATTGTATTGTTTGGATGCTCAAAAAGTATTCGCACAGTCGAGAAATTTAGCTTCTAAAATCAAGAATACATGCGAAGCTCGTTTGTTTATATTTGAACAGAATGTATTCATTGTATAAAATTGCTAATTAATGTTGATTTTCTACAAATAAGACTTTTTTGTAACAAATTTTCTTGTACAAAGACTTTTTGTTCTCACTGTATATATAAATTATACACAAATTATAATCTTAACTGATAATGGGATTAATTCATTATTTCTTCGATATATTATTGTGATTCAACGTACGATTAAACTTTACAGATAAATTCTGATCTCAGAAATATATCGCGAGGACAGATATATAACGTGAATCTCATTGCGCGTCTTGAAGCAATCTTGAATCAAAATCAAATGGAAATTCTGTATGGGATTCTGCGAGAAGAGAGTAATTGATATCGTGGAACCAAATTATTGGTGTGCCTGCAATCTTCGACGCGAGAGAAGATCGGTGCGCGAACGCGAACTCAGTGCATTTCACGTTAATCTCGACAATCCGATCTGTCGGATGTCTTTCTTTTTCGCTCATTGTCTGTTGAGGATTGCTTCAAACTCGATTTCCGCCGAAATAGCGCGTACACTTCGCTCTCATATCGATCACGCTATACCTATACGGTACTCTCGCTTTTTTATTTTTTCGCCGATGAATGTACGCCACTCGCGTACAAATCTTTCTTCACCGCGCGATCTTGCTGATATATTTTTATTATTATTCTTACTATTATTTTTATTATTATTCTTATACAATTTCTGCGTGTACATATAAACGCGTCTCGGAAAATTCGTAACGCGCGAATATATTTTTAATTATTAGCTTCATATTATTACCCAGTGAACACAAGTTATACGTAACTTACCTGTTAGTTGTAATTTCCTATTCAACAATATAATTCATAATATAACAGTAATATAATTGTAATATAACACGTGTGTGATGTTACAGTTATATTGTTGAGAAAATTACAACTAACAGGTAAGTTACGTATAACTTGTGTTCACTGGGTAATAATATGAAGCCTTTTCGGCAATACAAAAAGATATCTTTCAGTTGATTTTTTACTTTGCGAAAGTGACAACCATAGAAAGATGATGAAAAGATGTCTTTTTTAAGTTATCTTTTCGACAAAACTAAAAGATGTCTTATAGACATCTTTTCGTGTTGCTCAAAAGACAATCTAAAAACGATGTCTTTTTGTCATCTTTCAGACATCTTTTCGCTTTGTCGAAAAGACAACTTAAGAAAGATTGCTTTTCGTTATCTTTTAATATTTTGTGCTGTCTGGGAAGTTACATGTAACTTTGTGTTCACTGGGTAGTGGTGTTTCCGATTAGAGTTTCACATCTGCTAGACGAACAGATTACGATACTGCAATATATTTATAATCAATGTTCTTTGTAATGTATCTTACATATGAATGATGAAAACAATTCGGCGCGCAGTTCGAACGACTACAAATATGGTATACATATAATAATTCAAGATTGAATTATTTAAGCTATGCTTAATTAAGCTACGCTTATTTAAACTATGCTTAAATAATGCTTAAATAATTCATAAAGATCTAGCTTTGACCGTTATAGGCATTTTAATTTCTATAAGTATTGATTATGTTCTCACATGTTATGATCTAAAATAAGATTCTTATTGTTTACATATGAATAATTATACCCATGTAACTTTTTTTTCTAAGGATATCATATCAGATATGATAATCTCACGAAACCGAGAGCCCTTTTATCGCCGATCGAAGCATTTTTCGCCCTATACACGCCCAACCGTGCTGTCTCATGAGCGATGCAGACCGCTCCGCGGAATTCTTTGAAAAACTACTTCGTAAAATTGGGGACGCGGCACGAGAGGGGAGGAACGAGGCGGCCGAATGAATAATAAATATGGTTATCGTTTAGTTGATATTTTGAAGAGGGGGCGCGGACGGAAATTCCCCGCCCGTCCCCTCCCTCCTCGCCGAGGGATCGGAGTGAGAAAGGGATCAAAGCGGATCAGAGATGAAGGCCAGGGGAGAGAACCGTCCTCTCGTTACGTTTCTGTGCATCAATTGCTCGAGATAGTCCGACCGCGAATCACACGGCGTATCGATAGAACAACAATATCAATCGCGATTATCACTGACAAATATATCGCAATCGAATCTATACCAAGAATACGTAATCACATTGCGATCAGCTTTGATCCGAAATATATCGCGCAGAAATTGTACAATTTGCAAGAAAAGGGCGAGATGGAAATAATTGGAAAAAATATATTATAATGGATCGTGACAATATCTGAAATAATATTGAAGGAAATTATTAAAGTGATGCTGTGTGAATCAGTGGAATCTGACTTGACAAGATGAGAGAAACGCGTAAAGAACTGCGAAACATTTCGATTTGTCTCTTCTATACAGGGTGGCTCAAACTTTTTAACATACCGCTTGTGGGCAGGTAGATCAGATTAAACCGAGTCGAAAAATCCTCCATTTTGCAATTTTCATAATTAACGATGAGATATTAATTTTTAAAAATTGCTGAATAAGCGGATAAAATCGACGCAAGATAACTTTAAGATATTTTTCAAAGTTCTTTATGAAATATCTTAAAGATGTTTCTTGAAGAACTCTTAAAGATATCTTAAAGTTGTTTCATGCGTTGATTTTAGACATTCTGCTCATTGAATGTGCTGCTAAAAAAAATAATCCCCTTCCCCTAACACTATTCCTTCTTCCTGATTCTTTTTCTCCTTTCAAACAACATACCCCTTTTCATCTTCAGGCTCGATCTTTTACAATGTCATTTAATGTTTAGACGTTCGAGTGTCGATAACCGTTTATTTTGTATTTTTAAAAAAGAGTTCCAGTTACAACATCTTTTAATAGTATAGAAATTATAATAGTTAATTGCAACTTGACTTCATATAAAGAATATTTTTATTAATTTTTAACACATATCTTTCTTTATTCAAAGCTGAAAACATTTTCGTTCTACTTTAGGAAGTAGAGATCTGACAATTACGCGTAAAATTAATACCAACGAACATGCAGTTAACTATAAATCATCATAAAAACAATTATTTCGTCTAATGACCGAAACGTTAAGAACATCTATGATGGATACGAGCTTATGATTAGTCGATTATAAAGTTTTTCAATATTATCATGCGAGATTACATCGCCCAACTAAGCATTAAAAGTAGCATTGTTGCAATAAGTTTGGCAGTTTCATACAATATGTCTGAACACGATTGGTTTTATTTGGCATATTATTAGTTTTCTGTTATTATTTTAATATTGATAATGGCTAATAATAAGTTGAAACGTTTGTTTTTGTATATGCTCTACAATTTATTATTAAACTTTAATATTCGACATCCAGCGTCGGCTTGTAGTTCCCTCTTTTTATTTGTAATTGTTGATCAATTTGAGCCTTTTTATTGTATTCATAAAAACAAGTAATTGTAAAACTTGTAAAATGTAGAGGACTTTTCTATTCATTTTCGGCTGTATCTGTTCACAAGCGATATGTGAAAAAGTTTGAGACACTCTGTATAAGACCGATGTATTTTTAATATTTATGTTATTTAATATATTGTTTTATATGTATACATATATAATTTTATATTAAATACATGTACATATGTATACAATATAAATTTAATATTAAATATATTAAATTTATATTACATTAAGGCCCGATTTCACAATATATGGTTATCCCTAAAGATTAAAGGTAACCAAGAAATTCATGAATGAATTTCATTGATAAATCTGTTGGTAACCTTTAATCTTTAGGTCACTATATATTGTGAAAACGGATCTAAATGATATAGAGATATTATACAATATATATTTATAGTATACATATCGATTTGTAGGCCTCCACAACGAAAACGCGTCGGAGTAGTTTCGTTCTCTCCGATGTAGAATAGTCAGGCGATGGAGCGGCTAATAACGATAACGATGCCAGAAACGATAATAGAGTTGGGGGTTTCCGCGGTTTCCACGGCTCTCCCAGGGCGCTGATTGCTGGAACGGTGCGGCGTTCGGTTTTGCCGTCGGGATACGTCCTGCAGCGCAAAGCGCAACGGCGCGGCGATGCCGTCTCTCGCTTTTCGACAATCGCTACAGCTGCGTCGAAACGCAAACCCTCCGATGCATTAATTTAAATGCAGAATACTCCACCTCAAATTAGATCAATCTGAAGTCAACTTTTTTATATTTTATACAACGACAATGTCATGTTTCTTCTCTCTTCTTTTAATTCTTGGAGCGATCTCCAGACAATCCTTTTTCAAAAACTGATATTTTAAATTAAAAACAAACATTTAATAATTTTCCTGAAATTATATTTCACAAAAGAAATGTAAGCTTATATATTATATTAATTAAAATATCGATAAAAGTAATACACACAAGATGATAATAACATACTTTGATGAAGTAATTAGAGAGAACAGTTATATATAAGGTGTTTCTTATAGTTTTTGATGCGCTGAATCCGAATTCATAAGTGAAAGTATTATAACATCAAGTTTTTGTGCAGCCAAAATAACATAATTTTTTATTTTCACTTATTATTAAGATAATATATTTTATATGTTATATTCGGGGAATTCGATTCCCGGTCAATGTTTTTCACAATAAAATTATTCATAGAATGCTTATCAACATCAAAATATTAAGATCAATCTAGATACCTATTAGCATCACTATAATTATTATAAAAATTGCTTGTCAATTTAATTTGTGATATTACTATTCTAAATAACTATACGACTGTAAAGGGCAAATAAGAGTCAAATTCAATAATTATAGATCTTAATATGCCATTCAATACATGCAAGTCGCTGTGCATATGCTAATGTAACATTAAACTTCGCTGTACATATATTAATAGCCTTATATTAATACCTCACTGCCGTCAGGAACTCTGTCTTGGATAAGACACACTTTTTGGAGATAAATTCCCAATTTTCATTAACACAGTCAATCGTCATGTCTAAGGGAATGTTGATAAAGAGAGATACTACATCTAGTGTGAGATTAGTTTATAATTTTCTTCAATTCTCACTCCTCTTAGATTTTCAACCATCTGAAAACTGTTTTTTATATAACTATCGGCCTTGGGAATATTTTTATACATGATATCTTGCAAAAAAGAAGCCAAGAAATATAATGGGCTGTTTATTGAAGACACGATGATCCTGAAAGGATAATTCGGTTTGTGAATCTTCGGCACCGCATACGTTCTCGGCAGCAACTCATCACTACAATATAGATGTCTGTATTGTTCCTCAGTAATATATTTGCAAGTCTTCCACCCTGCAAGCATGACGTCATTTTTTTGGAAGGATCTCTTTTTATTATTTCGTAAGTGTCTGTATCTTCTAACATCTCATTTACTTTATTAATATAGATATTTTTTTCTAGAGTCACAGTGACATTTCCCTTATCAGCGTGTGTGAAGATTATCTCCGGATGTGATTTTAAAAAATCTTTTGTAAACTGTGTTTCTAACTCGAGTAATCTTGTGTCAGTTGACTTTGTGAAAACTGGAGAGGAAACTAGGTTATTAAGTATGAATGATTTGTGATGTCTATCCTCTTGTTGATTGGAAGTTTTCTAGTACTATGTTCTATGTTGTATATTACTATTCTAATTCTATTAGAATTATTTCAAGACTGACAATAAATTCGGCGCGCAATTTGTGAGATAAATTCACACAGAATTATTTCAGTACTAAAAGATCTAGCTTGATCATTTAGAGCCTTTATTTCCGATTATATATTCACATTACAGTCTTATAAGACACTTTGTATTATTTAATATAGTTTAATTATTACATCTTTTTTGGTAAAATAATTTTAAAAAATATACAATCTATTTTATTTTCTCTTGATAAATTGATGATAGTGTTTATTTTCTAAAAATAAGATTTTTAAAAAAGATATAAGAATATTTTTTGCACGAGGTTGAAATCCCTCGAAGTCGAAACGCATCGAAAACTATAAGAAACGCTTATATATATTCTGAGTAGTTGAGCAAAAAATTTTTTTGTCGTTCATTTTTTTGTCGAACAATTAAAAACGTTAATATCCGTTACGAGGAGACGAAGGGAACACTAATGAAAGAAGATCCAAGGGCCTCGACGTCGCTGCCTCGGCCTCGGTGATGTATGCATGCGAGTGCGGGCGCAGATGGAAGCCGTAACGAGTACACAATGCGATGCAAATTGGTTAGACTCGGTATGCCGCGCCGGGCCAGTCAATCGCCCGGCCGGTTGCCTCCAGTCGCGGCGATGGTATTACTAACATCGCTATTCTATTATGACGTTACGACTAGCCGAGCAGCAGCAGCGGCAGCCTATTACGATGTCGGTTCCCTCCCCCAGGCACTCGATTCGCGATAACTCGTTAACTATAGCGGTCATCGAGACTCGCCGGAGAGAGACAATACCGAAATGCCCGCAGCTGACTTTCCGATTGATTCTCGTTCGACCGATTCTCCCGCCTCAATTGGTGGTCCCAAGTTGAAAACTTGATACTTTTTAAAGTACCTAATGATACCCCTTTCGAGACGCTTTAATTGTAGAGAGCCGAGTATCATTCATGCGGCAATTTAGAAATAAAAAAAAAAGGGATAAATATATTTTTAAAATGTTTAAAGCTATGTATATAAAAATAGTCGATATTCTCACATCTTGTAAATGTTTCTACATTTATGATATAAATTTGTCAATTAGAAGAAAATCTATGACTCTTCTTTTAATGATCCACATTGTGAGACATAATGTTGGAACTTATTTTTCGAAAGTTCATGTTTGAAAGTTCTCGAGTATGTTACATTTTATTCCAAATTTACCTATTGTTTTTTTTTACTTATTATCAACTCTTTTGAAATTTTATAAAATTTTTCATGTAGCAATCATAATTGTACTATAATTGAATATTGATTAATTTAAAAGACCAATATTTAAAGATGATACAGGAGAATTATATAACACATCTTAAATCTGAAAATCAAATTTATTAATAACAAATACTACATCTGCTCTCCTTGGGATAGTTACAAAGTAATTTTTATTTTCTTATCATATTACTTGAGGTATTTTCAATGTGTAACTTTTCTTTTTTATCCGTATACTTTTTTTTTATAAGAATACACACACTAACATGTTATCAAAATATACTGTAATAATCATAGGAACATTATAGAAAAAATATTACATATACGTTTTAAACGATATATAAATGTATATAAATATATATTATATAGTTTAAAAATAAGTGTTTGGTATAAAAACGAAACGTGTATTTTAAATTATTCAGTGAAACAATATCTTTTCTTAGCTGGCGGTCTGTTATCTTCATCAATGTTATCCAAATGATATCTTTTCTTATTTGTATCTCTACCCAAACCACTGGTCGATTGAATAGGACGTTGCTCTTCATCGGATTCTTCATCTTCACTTTTAACGTGCAAAAGAGAACCCATATGCTCGTTGAAATCAGAGATTTTTACCATGGTCATCCCACTATAAAAGAGTTCAATTCATTATATCAAATAGTCTTATTTCTTATAAGGAACATATTATATAACATACTTGTGTTTACGATAAAGTTCGTGGAATTGTTTGTGATTATTCAAATTAGCAAGCTTTTGTAGGAACTTTTCATCATGGCTGATTATAATCAACTGGAAATTCTTTTGATATTTCGATCGTAACTCAACCACCCTGCAACACGAATTCAATTAAATTATTTATAATTGTTCGATCGCGCGCGCTATTTTATGCCTTAGATAGAAATGCATGCATACTTAGTTAGCATATCCGCTAAGCTGTTGGCATTGTCTTCGTCCAGATTTGTTGTTGGTTCGTCTAACGCGAGAATACCGCAATTCTTGCAGAACGTTTCTGCCAAAGCGAGTCTTATAATTATCGACGCTAATACCTATGAAAAAATTCGGATATTAATATAATGCGTTTCACTGATTACGTGTATTAATTGACCGACACGAATACCTTCTGTCCAGCACTGCAACGTCCTTTCATATCCATTTTACAGCCGTGCTTAGTTTGAATCAGTTTGTAGTTATAGCTTCTTCTATTGCTACCTACACCCTCCGTAGGTTCCGTGCAAATCTCTATGCTGCTTGTGTCTGTACCCTTATAAACGTGCTTCCACAACTTCTTCATTATCTTATTGACCGTCGACATACGCTCCTCGTGGTATTCGATCATTGCGGCATCTAATATTTTATTGTAAGCTATCAAATTAGCTATAGCGTCGTCTTGAACCTAGTAAAAAGAACTATGCAAGTCAAATTTGTTGCTTGAAACACCAATTAGCATGTTTAATCATATACGATATAATATTTCACCGTTAATTCAATACACTTGTTAGTGTAATTTCGACGAGCTAATCGATATTCCTCTTTCCGTAATTCCTGCGTGTACTGTTTGATTATTCTTTCCAATTCTTCCTGTGTTCCCAACGCGACATTTTTCTAAAAAACCATCGAGACCAAGTTAATTAATAATTAATTAATAAGTGAATATATAAATTTTAAAAGTACATTATAGGTGGGTGTCCCAAAATATTTAGGACAATATTCGTCTGCAGATAAGTAGACTAAGGGTGCCTTCCAACAAGCAACACAGTGCGACACAGTGATCGTGTCATCTTTGTTTAACATTGACAAACAAGGATGTAATGATCCTAATAAAAACTGTAATGACTAATAAAAAAATGACTTTCTCTCTTCTGTTAAAACTTTTATTTAGAGTCTCTAATCCGTTCTATCTGCACACGAGCATTGTGTCCTAAATATTCTATACATGCCACATATTCATATTATGGCAAAGAAAAGGGAGTGAGCGAATGATGAGTGAATAAGTGTGAATATGTGATATAGGGATATGTCACATAATCACACTTATTCACTCATTCATTTACTCCTTCCTTTTCTTCGCCATCCTCTCATTCTCTTTCCTTTTCCTTTCTTTTTCTTACTTACTTGCCGAAGCAATGCTTGCTTGTCATTTTCTAATTCCTCCCATTTCTTCATCATTTCTTTATAATCCATATTTTTCAATTTTTCATTCAATTTTCTGTATTGCTCTTTCAGGGTTTCTAGCGTTTCCTTAATTTTACGTAACGACATGTTGTCGAGTAATTCTCGTTTTCCAATTTCTTGAGAGGCAATGTCCTCCTTCAACTTGCTGACAGTTTGCTCTATATCGTTTTTCTTGTTCATAAGTTCTGTTAGCGAATTATTGTAAGTCTCTATCTCGCGTTCATAATTCGCGAGTTTCTCGAGTACGTTACTACTAATAAAAGAATTGATCTCGTCTAATATTTTATGCAGATCAGACAAACGTCTAGCACTTTCGGACATCGATTTTCTATCAGCTTCTTGCTTTTGCCAGTTATTTACCTGTAAAAAAGGAATGTTTCAGAATCTTTATATTTACATTTGCGTTTCAAATAATCATGGATCGTATACAATTGGCAATAAAATACGATAGTCTCGTATTTTATTGCCAATTGTTTTGTCCGGAAATATTATGGAAAACAAACCTTGGTCTTTTCCAACTGCTGACTTCTGGAATCCAATTCAGACTCAGCATGTGCCAAACCCTCCTGCAGTTCCTCTACTGTTTCTCCTACAGTAATTTCTCGTGTGTACAAATCACCCTGCTTGTCCTTCAAATGTTTCAATTTCTGCATATCAGATTGTATTTTTAATTCCTTCTCGTGTAACTCGTTATACTTCGCTCGAGCGTCCTGTAGTTTCTCGTTATGCTTGGTTAATTTGAGTTGCAATGCATCAATATGATTACAAGTTTCTCTAAGGGATTTTCTCAAAGATTCTCGCTGCACTTGCGCTTCTTCCATAGTTCTTTCAGTTTTAATCCCTGTATATAGAAAAGAATACTAATTAATAATTATAAATGGAAATAATCGAAATAATCAAATTATTAATATTAATCATTAATAAAAAATCATTAATATTAAAATAAATGATCAAAATAACATTACCAGAATTAGCCATTTGAGTTTCCAAGTTATTAACTGCTCCTTTCAATTGCTGTATCTCGTCTATGCATCGATCCCAGAATTTAATATCGCCAATCATATTTTTATATAGCAACAATTTTTTCTCAGGTTCCGTCTTTGACGCTTCTAGATTCTTTACAGTCATTTTTGACTGCGCCACACTGTTTTGAGTCTTTTTTAACTTTTCTCTACAAATAAAAAAAATTAATATAAATATTAAATATATTAAAACTGTAACTTTGAAATCAATGGATCAATTCTAAGAGCCGTAAAACTCAACGTGTTCTCGTAAAACTTGTAAGAACTTATGACTAGTATTCTAATTTTATGCGTATGTATCATAAGACGTACGATTATTTTCGTAAATATCTACAATTTTTTATAAATTTTATGGCTAGTAAGAAGCTGTCTGTAAAAATATTATATAAAGGTATAAGCAAAGGTATAAGTAAAAATTCTTACAAGTCTTACAGGAATATGTTACGAGCCTTACGATTCTGCTTAGAATTTAGCCACAAAAGTTCAATTAATATAATATACAATTAAGAGATCACTTACTCTAATATTTTCAAGTCACTTTCTTCACACTGAATGACTTTTTCGACAGGTTTCAATTGCAACATATTGTCATATTTTTCCTGTTGTATCTTTAGTTCTTGTTCGCATGATTTTAAACGACCGGGTTGGTTACGTATTATATCGCTTTCGATTTCTTTTATTAAATCTGCAACATTATCCTGCTTCTCAAAATTTCTATGACATAACGGGCAACAAGGATTCTTTATGGATAGCTTTTTAACATATTCCTTGTAGGCTGTAGCTTGATAAGCATAAATTCCTCTCTTGTCCTGAAGATCTTTTACGATTGTTGATTGCATTAACAAAATCTCATCAAATTCTTTGTAATCGCACATTGCAGATATCTTTTCTTTATTATCTAAAAAAAAAAGAAACATTTAAAATTACCATATAAACAAAAATTTTATATATGTATATATAGAGTATGAAAAAAATTATAAAAAATATATAAAATATTCTTACTGTGTAACTCGACCGTCTTCTTCTTAATATCGGATTCTATATGCCGTACTGTTGTTTCAAAAGCAGTAGTTTTACGTTCTTGTGCTTGAATCTCTCGTGTTAAAGAATTTGTCTCTTTTTCCTGAAATTCATAATCACAGTGCAATTTTACGAAGACGCAATGTATATAAAGATAGGTACATAAGAAAGCTAAAAATAGATCTATATAAAGATAGATATATAAGATACAGAAGATTTATCACATACCAATTTCTGGTGTACGCGTTCTAAAGTATCTTTCAATTTTGTTTGTTCTAATTCTTGAATATTTAACAGTACTTTGATGCTATCTCCGTGCTTTCTCTTCAAATTCTTCAATTCTTCTTCCTTAGCTTTTAATGCTGACTTTCTTATTTCCAATTCTGCCATTAACGAGCTTAATTTATGCAAAGAAAAAATTTCGTCGTCAATTGAGCTTAAACTTGCCTCAATCTTATGTTTGGATTTTACTTTATTTGCTTTTTCAGCTTCAAGAGAATCTACATTCACTGCTTTGACAAGTTCGTCAATTTTTTGTTTTTCTGTTTTACGTTCTTGTTCGATCGACTTCAACTTATTTCCTGCTGCACCAATCTAGATTAAAACATTTTGGCATAATTACTTTTTTAAAACTAAATATTTCTGTCATAAGGATTTTTTTCAGAATTCAAAGGAATCCTAAAGCCATCTGTATTACTGACTAACAAGGAGATATGCAGGAATGTATCTTACGGATTTGGAAAAATTTCAAAACGGTGTCCCATATTGTTTAGATTATGGAAGTATTAGATTCGTGTAATAAAGATGAAAGTATTAATGCAATTCTACCATTCAGAAAATTCTTAATTAAAGATAACGATGAAACAAAATGTTTTTGTATGTAGACTTACTATCATTTATATATTTTTATCATTTTATTACTCAAACTCTCACACTATTTGTACAAGATCTGTTTTCTGTACTGTACTGTACAGTACAGTGAACTCATACACTGAGTTCTGTTGCACTGGAACAAAAAACAGCGATGCTGAAGCCATTTTGGGAACAGAAAACGCTTTAGTCTACACTTTTCGAACTAGTGCAACCAGTGCAGGAACAGATAACAACCTGTTATATAAAAATTATATAATTTAATAGATAATACAAACAACTTTAAGATCCTCTTAATATGTGTCTGTAAGATGGAGTTTAATATTTAGTCAAAAATGACAAAAAATTTCGAAATTGAGATCTTTACCATATCTTAGTCCAATATGGCTCCAATATCTTAGTCCAATAGAGCTGTCAAGGTCATGACATTTGTTTCATATAAAAGCTATAAAATCTTACAAAATACTAATCGACAGACTAGTAGTTAGCACAAAAAAACAACATGGAGTTCTTAGAATTGGATTTAATATCGTTATATAAAAATTTGTGTATGATGTGTGAGATATTGAAGTAGTAATATGTCAACGACACCAATTCGTCTGTGTCTTACTTACACTATGACTAATCGTCTTTATGATTTCCGAAATGATTATACTAACCTGTGTTATCTCGTTTCGAATTGTGTCTATTTCGTCTCTTATATCTGTTATTTCCTTCTCTTTCAGGATTTTCTCTGATTCTATCTTCGAATAATTGCTACGCAGCATATCAACTTCCCTTTGTAATTCCTTTTCCTCTCTTTGCATATCCAATCTATTTTCCTCTACTTGTTTTTCTAATGCTCGCATCTTTTCTTCTAATCTTTTTGTAAGAGCCTTCACCTCTGAGAACAAAATTTTTGCACAATTTAGCAATGCAAGAAGGAAAAGGATGAAGTCTATTAAAAAATTACGTGAATTTATTATCCATAAAAGTACCTATTTCAGATACATCTGATTCCACTGTATCAAAATTCCAAGCTTGTAATGCGTCATTTAATAATTGATTGCGACGAATCACTCTTCTCTCATTATCTTTTACCTGTTGTTTTAATGTACCTACAGTTTCCCTTCGTGTCGCTAAGATATTCGAGATTCTTGTTTCTTTCTTGGAGATGTCTTTGATTTCAGCTTCATTCTGCAAATAGCAAACCAATACGTAATACATACAAAAATACTATTCTAACATTTAATACCTCTGTTATTTCGACATTTTTTCCCGTCAATAGAGTGTCATAAGATTCTATGAGCGCATTTAATTCTTCTGTTGTTCCTTCATAGATATTCCTTATGCTTTTTTTTAGTTTTTCATATCGATCTTTATGCATATCAAATTCCATCTTTTTTTTTTCTGGGAAAAAAAGAAAACGTTTCATTTTCCTTTAATTATTTTAAAACGATTTTTTTCAATTTACCTTCTTCAGTCTGGATATTCTTATATTCTGAATGAAACTTCTGTATTTCTTCAAGTTTTTGTTTTATGGGTTCAAGCTGTTTATCAATATCATTAATTTTCTCCTTTGTGGTATCCAATCTTTTCTTTTGCTCCTTAAGTTTAGTCTCTTTATCCTGTACTTCAGACACGAGTACTTTGTAAGTCTGTTTCTCTGCGTTTAGAGTCCGAATATCACTTTGTAATTCTTTCTGAAGTTTTGAAATAGTCTCCAAAGCTTTG